AGGGAATGGGATGGCCAAGCCCTTGACAGAAGGAGACATCACAGGGATAGGGAGAAACCTGGTGCTAGGGAAGTTCCCAGAAATCCACAAGGATGATCCTAGCTTAGACTGCTAGCAATAGTGGAGAAGGTGCCTGAGCTGGCTTATCCCAGTAATCAGATTAGTGAATACCCTAAATGTCATCATAGAGGCTTCATCCAGTAACTGATGGAAGCAGATGCAGAGATCCACAGCCAAGCACCAGGCCAAGCTCCAGGAATCCAGTTGAAGAGAGGGAAGAGGGATTCTCTGAGCAAGAAGCATCAAGATCATGATGGGAAAACCTATAGAGACAACCGAACCAAACTAAAGGGAACTCACGAATTTTAGACCAAAGCTATGGAGCCTCCATGGGACTCTGCATAACCAAGACAGTTGTATAGCTTGGTCTGCTTAAGAGGCACCCTGGTAGTAGGATCACCATTCCTGGTGCATGAGCTGGCTTTTTGGAGACCATTACCTATGGTGTAACACCTTGGACAGCCTTGATGCAGGGGGAGGGGCTTGGACCTGCCTCAATGGAATGTACCAGACTTTACTGACTCCCCATGGGAGGCCTTACCTTTTCAGAGGAGGGAATGGGGGATGGTTGGGGGGAAGATAAGGAGGAACAGGAAGAGGGGGGAATCTGTGGTTGGTATGTAAAATGAATAAAAAAATTTTTAATAAAGAAAAAAAAGAGGGAGTGGGTATTTTGATGTGTAAAAAAATGTTTGACCTCAGAATGGAAACCAGGATATGTATTGCATTGAGGAAGAGGTTTTGCTTTTATTTCCACAGGAGAAGAAAAGCTATGGATACCATCAAAGTTGCTAAAGATTAGGTTCAAACAGGAGAGACCTCTCGATTAGGAGAGATGATAATTCAGCAACTGATGTGATGATTCAACCTGACAAGTGGGAAAACTCACCAAATTAGGGTCAGGACAGGGTTTTATTTTTTTATTTCCTGGAAAGTAAAAACATCTAACTGAGGAATCTAAAGATTCCTTTGGACAAATGAAGCATCAAAAAAGGAAGGGAGAACAATCCAGAAAAAATTACCAAGAAAAAGAGTAATCTGACCTAATGGTATAGAATATTTCCTACAGGGTAAATTTCATAAACCTTTCAAAATGTATGTTTTTGCTCTACAGACATGTCAAACAGGTAGTTTCACATAGTCTTGACTCAATTAAAAACTAAAGCTGGCTTTGGAGTTGGAGTGTGGCTCGCTTCTTCTCTAAACCCAAGAATGTTTGTTAAAAGAGAATTCAAAGCCTGTCTCATATCAGAAGAGCCACCTGATATGGGACAGAAGAAAACCAAAATCTAGAGACTATTATATTTTCACTAATCTCATAACCCTCTGACTTATTTTGACTCTTTAAAACTTTTCTTAAGGTATAAGTACTATCTCAAAATTTAAATTTTCTGTTTTGATATTAATGATATTATGAAGTACTAACTAATTCTAGCCTTAGGCTTCACGTAGCTTCCTGTACATGATATCAGACTTAAGTTTAAACAGATATTTAGGAATTAAGCCTAGATATCCCAAATGTATTTAATAGATCATGGTACTTTAACCTCTCTAAGATTTACAGCATATGATGTTTAATATGCTTAAGTTTTCTACAGTGAACAATAAACAATGATCTCCAAAGTCTCCATAAAGATGATGGTACCCCACAACAACAATTCTACTTAGATTGTGATAATACCACTATGCTGATAAACCACCCAATGATTGGCTTTGGACTACAAACTGCTGAGGATAATTCCAAGGTGGCTAGCTGAGATGGTCCACCCTCTTGCACTACTCCAGCTAGGACTTCAGATAAGCTCTACACTTTTCCATTGCTCAGAGACCGGCAACAAATGATACAGGTAGCTCTCCCAGGACATGACCATTATTTAATTTTTTTCAGGGTCCCCTAGAGAAGCTGTCACCTCCCCAGACAGCAGGAAGCAATTTTAAGAACATGACACCCACATTCCCAAGACCTTGGGTGGGTGGTTTTTGGTCTTTCATTGTGTTATAGGTATTTGTTATCATGTCGGGGGTTGGGGGGGTTGGTTACAAGTTGTTATTTGGTATGGACAAAAAAGGGGGTGATAGATATGGTAGGATAAAAGGTAGATTATTGAATCTACTTTCAAACTAAAAGAGCAGCTACTAGTCTTAAATAATTTGCATTGGTATTGATTTTTGTATATTGATACAAATTTAAGGTCATTTTTGTTATACTGTATGCATGTTTTTACTTCTGTTGAAGATATTTTTGTATATTGTTATAAACTTGAGGTTATTGTCCTTATGCTGTATGTCTGTTTCTATTTTTGCTTAAGGTATTACCTGTACAGCTTGTTTACTTATGCAATATGAAGTCTTAGTCCTTAAAAGCTATTTAGGCTAATAAAGAAATATAAGCTAACACCCATAACTATCAAACTTATAGTCATGTTAGTAATGTTTTCTAGATATGGAGAGATATATTTCAGGTAAATAGGTAATCTTCAAACACTTTAAAGACCTACAGAATATGGCGTTTAAAATGTTTTAATAACTTAGACTTTTCTCCACATGAGACATATCTGCTCTTGGCAGCACTGATCTACTTTTTTTTTTTTTTTTTTTTTGCACTGATCTACTTCTAAAGAGAACAATGGGCATTGAAGAAACTCCAATATGGAGTTTGCTTTCTTTGTAGCATAAGCTAGCCAGTAGGGCAAGAAACTTCCCTTGCCTCGACTGTTGACAGTACACTGTCCAAACTGGACAAGCAGGACACAAAGAAAGTCGACTGCTGAACTTTGCCAGACATGTTAGTACAAAATTTCAGGTTCCTTCAAAATTTCCTGCTTCTGAAAAGTCTGTCACATATTTTAGGCCTGTAGACCAAAGATGGATGCCACAATGTTGCAGAGGAAACTTGGGTGACTGTCCAGGTAGCCAACTGTTTCTGTCATTTCTCACATTTATTTGGAAGTCGCTTGCTTGCACTTCTTGCTTACTCAGGTAATACTAGTTCCTTCTCAGGTCTTTGATGGAGTTGAAGACTAGGCAGTTATAATTACAGTTCTCCCAAATCTTGGCAAAAGGAATATTAGGTATAAAACTTTGAACTCTTCAGGAAAGGACAGCTAATGGAGTAATCACTATAAATTTACTAATTACTTATGGACTAGACATTGAGAATGTATTTCTTACTTGATAATTGCTCTTGTATGTAGTTTCATTTTTATTAAGGTTATCACCTTTCCTTTCTATTTGGACAATACTTGATAGTAATTCTTTTTTTTTTTTTAAGACAGGGTTTCTCTGTAGCTTTGAAGCCTGTCCTGGAACTCACTCTGTAGATTAGGCTGGCCTGAAATGCACAGAAATCCACTTGTCTCTGCCTCCTGAGTGCTGGGATTAAAGTCATGTGCCACCACCACCTGGCAATAATAATGCTTATTGTATATAGTTTTACTATATTAGTGTTAGAACCTTTCCTTCTTAATTAGACAAAACGGGGAAATGTTATGGGAATTCTGTCACCTGTCTGTTAGCCAATTGAGAGGAGTGTTTTGATCCAAGAGGTGGGGTTTTCATTGGGGATGGACATGACTGAGGGAAGAGGCAGCCCTTTCAAGCTAGTAGCAAGCCATGGTTGGTTTTAGCAGTGGCTTGTGATTTGGCTCAGGTTCCCCTTTTGTTCTTTAATATTTGTGCATGGATGTTGTTTGCTAATAAACGGTAAATAAATCATTTTACTCTGTGAGTTCAAGGCCAGCCTGGTATACAGAGTGAGTTCCAGGACAGGTAGGGCTGTTACACAGAGAAACCCTGTCTCAAAAAAATCAAAAAAATAATAATAATTTTACAGATATATGCATAATTCTGGACACTATAATAATTTATAGTGAGCTTGAGTTCAGGATTTTGTTTAGATGATTATATGAGATTATTAATATATATTATATTGTATTATATGCATGCTGTTAGATATTCTCACTCTTCTTACACAGTTACTGCATAGAGCCCACCTGAAGGTGGGAAAATAAGTTACATGGGAAAATAAGTTACAGATTGTATTGTATTTCACATGTTTATTGGTTCAGAACTTATGAGAAAAAAATTATTTGAAAATAAAATCAAAGTTAGAGGATATCAGAAGAGTCACAGATAGAATATGATCTTAAGTAGGGCTTTAATGGCAACTTTAAAGTAAATGAACATGAATGGGTTAAAGAATAAACTAATGGAACCTATTCATGAACAGAGTATCATGGGTTAAATAGTGGGCTACCTTGCAAGACAGCCAGGTTCAGTGTAGAATGTGACAGGCAGCTTCAAGGGAAGACAGCTATGTAAACAAAGTGCTTCACCTTTCTGTACCAGGTAGAAAACATGTGTGTGTGTGTGTGTGTGTGTGTGTGTGTCTGTCTGTCTGTCTGTCTGTCTGTCTGTCTGATGTTGCATATGTAGAGTGTGGGTGTGGGTGGCTGAAGTCAATACTAGGTGTAGTTCCTTAGAAGCCATCCACCTTGTTTGTTTGTTTGTTTGTTTGCTTTGAGACAGGATCTTTCACTGGGTCGGGGGCTCACCAATGAGGGTAGACTTGATGGACAGTATGTCCCAGGGACCCACTTTCTTTTGCCCATTATTGGCTTTATAAGTACATATTACCACATCCAGATTTGTATATGGTTTCGGGGTGAAACTTGGGTATCCATGCTCGTATGGCAAGCACTTTGCAGACTGGTCATTCTCCCACTTCCTATGCTCCTACTCACTTTTCAAAAGTTTCACTGAAACTTAACCTCACTGACTACTGACCTGTGGCAATGAAGGTCTTCTTGTCTCTATGCACATTTCTGTAGCCAAAAGATTCATGTGTTATTCCAAACCCATCATCTAGATGGCCAAATACATGAATAAGAGAAAGACACACTTAAAATAAGAAGCTTGCATAATTTATCAAATATAGTTACCATTTTGTCTTCAACTTCCAACTCAAGACCTGTTTTCCTGAGATTTAGATGAAATTCCCGTCTTCTCTCCTATGGCAAAAACAAATGGAAAGGGTGATGCAGGTGCTCTGTATCAGTGGACAGCACCAACCTGACCCTTTGTGGTAGCTGGAAATGCCAGGCCAACCCTTTGGGTTTGTTCTTAGTGCCAGAGCAATTCTCTGTGTCAGTGCACAGTGACAGGCCAACACTCTATGTTAGCTGGCATGCCTGGCTAACCTTGGTGATGGCTTATTAAAGGCTAGGCAGACTCAAGGCTGTGCTTCCAGAGGGTTCTAGGACCTTCCATGGTTGTACGTAAAAATACCCTACAAAACATCCCTACCTTCAGGCCATGGGCTGATTTTGACCTATACCATAATTGACAAAACTCTGGAAATACAAAATAGGAACAATCTCTAAGATTCACAGGCGCTATTTGAAGATACACACAAAATTTAATTGAGTGATTTGAAAGTATGAGAAGCCTTTGGGGACAGAGACACACAGGCTCCTAGCTGGTCAGGACTCAATATTACAAAAACCAGCGATCCTCATATCAATTATTCTAATGTCACTACAGGCCACAATCTCATCGCGGCCTTTGCTCTTGAAGAGCAAGAGGGCTTTCACTTAGAGAAAGAAAGGGTAAGATTCACTACAGGTCATGGCTTGCAGATAATAATTACTGTAGGAGTTAGACAAAGCATTGATGAGTAAAGCTTCTTCCAGCCACCGCTGTGATTGAAGTGTGAACATTTTTATAAAGACTGAAATTTGAAGAGCTTCACTAGGATGTTCTGAGTCATTTATGAGCAATAGGCTCCTTTACATTGAGGTTCTGGTGAACTTTATAAGCAATCACTTTAGTATGTCCTTTCCCCTTCCAGTGTTAGTATGAAGGGGCCTATGTCTGAAAACCCTCTCTCTTCAGCTATCTTTACTTAAATACATTTCTTTAAAAAATTAAAAAAAAACAGTAGGCATGGAGAGTAATTTAAAATGCTGTATCCAGCACCAACAGAGTGACTGAATCTTGAGTTGCAAAGACATGGGCTTTTGTAGCTTAGAGCATCGCCCCCCTTCAGAGTTCAACAGGACTGATGGCAGAAGTATGAGTGAACACCAGCTCATTAAGGATTATTTTAAACATTAAAGCTTTGTAAGTAATGAGATTGTTCTAGATTGGTTAAAAGGTTTTATTGACTTTTATTTTATGTGTATGAGTGTCTTGCCTGCATGTATGTCTGTACACCATGTGTGTGAAGTGCCTAAAGAGAACAGAAGGGGACATTTGACCTCCTGGAACTGAAGATATGGACAGTCCTGAGCCTCCATGTATGTGCTGGGAACCACATCAAAGGTTTCTGCAAGAGTAGTCAATGCTCTTAACTACTGAGCCACCTCTCCATCCACCTTTTTTAAATACTTGCACAAAACTCAGGGGTTTCAAGAAATCTATAATTCAGTAATCCCAGCCTATTGATCCAAATCACCTTCTTTTGTACCATGATGTATAAGAACAAAAGAACATATTTGAACCTGAACCCTTTGATTCTAGGAATGATTTTATTCATGCATAAATGAAGAAAACAATGTCAAGTCCTTGTACCCCATCAATCAATGCATTTATGATAGGCATGCTACTTATGTTAAAATTTTTCTGGTCATATTTTGTAATACATCAGTGATGTTTTATCAATTATGCACTCATATAATCATAAATTTACATAGCTGTAAAATTAATCAATACCAAGAGAAAACTAAGGCTTAGAATGTTATGGTTAAAGATAAAAATATTTCAATCAATCTATTTATGTTTATTGTTGCAAGGTTATGATTTAATGAGTAATAGAAGATGCACAAGGGTAGCCATTCACATGAGAAGGAAAATGTGTGAAAAAGGCATGGAAATTTTAGATGAGGAAAAATTTTAGCTGTGAGAGGGTTTCTTCATACAGATTTTTAAAAAAATGAATGATAGCATGTGTCCAATTTCCATATAATTCACTTTCTATAGACTTATGCCAGGAAGAAATTTATAATATGTTATAGCTTTACAAAATTCATTTGTATAGTGTGTGTGTGTGTGTGTGTGTGTGTGTGTGTGTGTGTGTGTGTGTGTGTTTGTACATGTGAGTATAGTAGCTGTGGAGGCCTGAAGAGGGTATCAATGTCCTAGGACTCTAACTGATTCTAAGAAATCCCCTTCATATATATATGAAAGAGAGATTCATTCTGTAAGTGCTGCTACTCTAGAAAACCTTGACTAACACACTGGTTAAGCAAGACAAGAACTGAGATTTGGCTATTGCTTTGTATGTGGAGATGGACATTGAGGTTGGGGTACATGGACCTTTGTATGTAGTACACTAAGGGTTTTATTTAAAGTAGTTTTTGGCAAATAAATATAATATGGAGGAAAGGACATGAAGACACATATAGTGTCTTAAGCTGGATGAAGATAAGAGGGGTAAAGAGAAGTAACTATGAAGATGCCTGCAGGACCTTGCTTACTGCAGCTCTGTCACGTCAGCTAAATTACCGAGTCAGTCTGCATGCTCATCAACAGATGTGGTGTTTTGAATAATAATGGCCCCCACAGACTCATATATTTGAACGCTTAGTCAGCAGGGAGTGTCACTACTTAGAAGAATTAGGAGGCCTTGTTGGAGGAAATGTGTCACTGAGGGTGGCCTTTGAGATTTCAAGAGCCTAAGCCAAGCCCAGTAGCTCTCTGTCTTCCTGCTGCCTGTGGATCCAGATGTAGAATTCTCAGCTACTTCTTTAGCACCATTCAGCCTGCATGCTGCCATGCTCCCTGTCATGATGACAATGGACTAAACATCTGAAACATAAGCAAGCCCCAGTTAAATGCTTTCCTTTGTAAGAGTTGCTGTGGTCATGGTGTCTTTGCACAGCAACAACACTGACTGAGATAACAGATGAGTGAGTGGACAAGGAAAAATGGTCTATACATAATGGAGAAGAATGAAATTATGACATTTGCATGGATATGTTTGAAACTGGAGATCATCACGTTAAGGGGAGAAAGCTGGACTAAGAAGGCTTGTGGAGTTGAGGAGGGGTGTGAAAGTAAAAGGGGGAACATTAAAGATGTTGAAGAGGAATGGAGAAAGAAACAGACAGAGTGAATATGATTGAAGCATGTTATACACATGTATGAGAATGTCACACATTCCATAACCAACATATGCTAATGAAAATTTACAGAAGGAAAGAGGGAAGCAAGGGAGAGATGGATAGGTGAAGGGATGGAGGGAGAGAGGAAGAAAAGAAAAAACATGGCAATATACTATAGTATCTTTTCTGGTCTGTGTGATAAAAAAGGTATGGGCAAGAACAATCTGAGAGGTGGGTTAAACAGACAAATGGAATAAAGTTACAGAGTTACAGTTACTTGCAATGATCTAATTTAGGAGAATGGATGGTTAAGTAAAAGCTAAGATCATTGGTAAAGGACATTCAAGAACAGAAATGACAAATGCCAATATAAACACTTACGCATGTGCTGTGTTCATGGGTCATCAGAAAGGAGTGGTAGAGGAGAGAGGGAGAGTGAGCCAGAGGTGACAGTGGCAGAAAAAAGGGAAGGCCTGGGGTGGGTAAACGGCAGTGAAGTCTCTTGGATGAGACTCAAAACTCAGCAATTTTAGAAACCAAAGAGGAAGAATCAAGTCAATGAGGTACTCAGCCTATACTGTCCCTATTGAAAAGGAAGATGGTTGTGAGAAGCAAAAATCCTCAAAGAAGGGCCAGGTGTGAAGGGATCATCCATAGAAGATATAAAAAGATACAAAAATAGCCATTGTCTGTGAATTTCAGAGGCATTAGTGGATGGATTGGGTAGAAAGATACAAAGCTAAGGAAGCTCAGGTTCTGGGGATAACACTCAGTTTTCAAGTTGTTATCTGGATGACATTTCAGCATATAACGAAATACCTGCACGCACGTGCGCGCGCGCACACACACACACACACACACACACACACACACACACACACACACACATATAAATCCTTACACATGCAGATCAAGTCTCTTAGCCATCATTTCAAATACTAAGCACCCATCACACCTTACCAGCATTCTGAGGACCTGGACATGGAACAAGGAACAAGACAACATGCTTGTGGGCTTAGAAGCAGGAAAGCAAAAAGAATAAACAAACTCAGAAAGTAATTAGTGGTAAAGTCAGGATTAGAGCTCAGCACAAAAGTGAACTTTTCATTAGATCGGTTGACCATACGCTTTGAAGATGAAAACTGCATATGAAAAGGAGATACTAGCTCAGTGGTTCTTAATCTGTGGTTCATGACCTCTTGAGGGTCACATACCAGATATCCTGCATATCAGATGTTTACATTACAACTCATAACATTAGCCAAAGGACAGTTATGAAGCAGTAATGTAATAATTGTATGGCTGGGGGTCACCACAACATGAGGAACTGTATTAAAGGATCACAGCATTAGGAAGGTTGAGAACCACTGCACTAGATTCAGGGATAAATCCTCTATGCGAGGGGTCACACTTAATATCTAAAGCAAGGTGTATGAAATAGATATCAGTTACATAGAAAGAGAAGTGGGAAGAGAGAAGAGGAGGACAGGGGAGGAGAAAGAAGTTGCTGCCGTCATTGTCTCCAAAGCATTCAGGAAACAAATGTGAATTGCATGCGCAGTGGCCTCTCAGTAGGTTCTTTCTAAAGAGTCTTCCTCTTCCTTCCCCGCTTCTCCCACATAAGCACTTACTGCCTTTATCTCCGAGTCTTTCTTTGGATCTTCCACATAGGAAAGGACAAAGTCAATCTGCCTAATTCCATCTCTGAAGAAGATTGAGTCTTTGCTTTGCTCACTTCTTTGAAACTGTAGAAGACATAAGTGATAGGACTTTACATGAAGGCAAAAACGTGAAGGGAAATGACTGCACTTCGGCCACCACTTCCCTTTTCCATTCTTAACACAGCAAGTCAAGACAAAACATAACAGAGATCAGGTCCCTTTTATAACGTAGAATTCCACCAAGAGGGTTAAATGATACATACTTAGGAAAGGCTGAAACATATTAGTCGCATGCTTAAACACATTAACCACATGCTCTCACAAAAGTGCTGCAATTAGGCCAAAATATACAATGAATATACTTATACATTGACAGTAAAATGCAAGCTCAGACAGAAATGTGTGGTTTTAATGAAACACCACACCAATTAGTCTACTAAGTAATGCATTTCTTACACACTTCTTCCAGGGCATAATCAAAAACTAAGGTGCAGTTAAGAATCAGAAGCAGGTAGTTGGCCAGTGGCCTCACCATAGCTAAGTCCTACAAATATCTGTCATCTATGTCTCAAGTGAGCTACAATTCATCTTTTCTTTATGATTTTATGAAATTTCTCATTTTAATAATGTCCAGCCCATGAACTCCTTTACATGATGTCCAGCCCATGAACTTCCCTTTCATGATAGCAAAACAAAATAAAACGAACAAAAAAACCTTACTGAGCATTTCACGGGAAACAAAAGAAATTCCACATTTGATTTTGTATTCCTCACCATCCATATAAAAAGTAGGATACTTTGTGCTTTTGAGTGACAACCCCCTGTGAGAGGCTGAGCATCATGCAATGGTTGGTGGGAGGTCTTCCTGGAACTGGTGGATGGGAGCTAGATCTCTGGATTTTTCTCAGCAGATATCTCTGCTGGCCTGGGAGCATCTTCTGCAGCCCCTGAGCTGCACCTGTCAGCCCAGCTGAGAGTCCCCATAAAAGGGACAAGTGGTGCCCGGCCACAAACAGGACAGAAACCTTGTGCCTGATCTGTGGTCTGTGAACGCAGTAATTCTATTTACCTATGGGTTGCTGCTGGTTGTGATGGGGGAGAAAGAGGTTCTCAAGGCATATGAGGATAAGAGTCGGGAAATGAACAAAGAAACAGAAATATCCATGCTTCTCTAGTTCATCATTAATGATTTTAGGAGCGTTCGTATTGTTCAGAAAAGCCAACCCTAGGATTTCTTTAGGACTGGAGTTACAAATGACTGTCAGCCACCATGTGTTGCTGAGGTTCAAACCCATGACCTCTGGAAGAACAGCCAGTTCTCATAAACACTGAGTCATCTCTCCAGTCCCAAGTCTTCAGATTCTTAACAAAATTTGTTTAGAACTCAATGGGGCAGAAAAAAAAAAATCCATTCATTTTGTTACAGACAACTGGAAGCTATTAAAATACGCCATGCTTTTATTTTGCTGAAAACATGTCATAAAGAACACATTTTAGAATATATATATATATATATATATATATATATATATATATATATATATATATATATATATATATATATATATTTGTGTGTTTATTTGTCCTTAGAGATGCCCAGTTACTACAAAGCAGTACCCAGTTAGGGTCTAGCTTGCTATGATTTACCTAACTGGTGGTTCTTGAGCCTCTGAAGCTGTTCACACTGTCTGTGTTTGCACACATGCTTTTAGGAAGTGGGCTCATCAAATGGAAAAGATTGAGAACCACCACGGTTAAATGCCAAGTCCCTGGGAACTGAGAATCAGTGATCAACACCCCCACCCCGTGTTTATGGCATTCGTGGAACTGAATTCAGAATTCAGAAAGCACCAGGCTGTTACTACAGACACTCAGGCACAGGCATCAGCAGCCAGTACTGTTTTACCATAAGACGCCTCCTCAGGAACAAATTGAATCTCTTCTCAGGCTGTGAAGCAACCAACGGAGAGTCAGCACAATTCCACTTGGGCTTCAAGATTCCAACACACAGGCACACATGAATAAAGCTATGCTCTCTAGTGGATGACTATGTTGAGACATTCCAGCCTTGGAGTAAGGCTGTTGTTCCCTCATAGGAGGGGTTTGCTTACAGCTACCACCTACCTGGAACGAGTTTATCATAGCAAGCCCTGGTTTCATGGTGTGAACATCAGGCTAGAGCAAGCTGAGACGTTTCTGACTTAGCAAGACCTACTCTGCCTCAACACCAAGTGTTGCTAGCTACAACAAGCCCCAGCATTAATTATTCCAAATCATCATGACACTGAAACAGTCTGAATGCCTGCGAAGATGCCGCCCCTCAGAAAGCCCGTGTCCACTGCTGCTGTGCTACAGGGAAGCCGATAAACTCTCCACTTCTGCTTAATGTGTGTCTCGGTGAATCCTTTCACCTCTTAAGCGTTATCCACACTACAGGGCTGTCAATCCTACCCCTGGTACAGCATAAACCTTCAGTATGTGTCTACAACATTTAAAGTCCAACCTCAGAGGAAGTGAACAGGAAGGAAGGAAAAAATGGGAAGAAAAAGAATGAAAATAATGAATAGGAAAAAGTTGTAAATGGACAAATCCTTTATTAAAACGACTTTTAAAATATGTTTGGAACTTAGCTGAGAAAGAAAAGAAATGATAAACAAAAATGTGTTAAACAGAAAAGCCAAGTGATGTAGTCTGTTAAATGTTCTTCTACCAACAAATATAGCAAAACCCTGACATTACTCTGGGTGACTCATAGTGTGGGAAATTTGCATAGCAGTAGAGCGTGGTGATATACACCTATGATCCCAGCAGGCCTGAAGCAGGACTGGACATTCCAAACCAGCCCAGGGAACACAGCTACACTTTGTCTCCAGGAGATTAAGAAAGAAAAAAAAAATTGCATGGGGCTTAATTTTAAACATTCTATGACTTCCCCAAATACTGAGGTGAAAAGGCATAGCATTCAACTACTGACATAATGAATTGTCTTCAATCTTTTATTACCATGGTATCATTTAAGACACCAAGGAAATTACCTGAAGTTGGTAGAAGGGAGAATGGACGCTATCTGAAAGAGCTCATTGGTTAAGCTCGCCTAGCAGGCCCTGTATTCAATCCTCAGTGCTGTGAGAAGGAAACTAAGACTTGAAAAAAAAAAATCAAACCCATAACATCCAAAGGCCCACATTGCTTATATTAAATAAAAGTGAAAAGATAAATAATCACATAAATTATCATTAAAGGACATCTGCTTCAAGGCTGTGGAGGCCTAAGCAGCTGGTGCTGGCTGGTGCCTGCGCTGGGTAGTATTTTGATAACTTGACCCAAGCTAGAGTTATCCGAAAGGAGGAAACCTCAGTTGAGAAAATGCCTCTATAAGATCAGGTTGTAGGCATGCCTGTAAGGCATTTTTTTAATTAGTGACTGATGGGGAGGAGGGCCCAGCCTATTGTGGGTGATGCCATCCCTAGGCTGGTAGTCCTGGGTTCTATAAGAAAGCAAGCTGAGCAAGACATAATGAACAAGCCCGTAAGTAGACCCCTTCATGGTCTCCTCCTGCCTCCAGGTTCCTGCCATGCTTGAGTTCCGTCCTGATTTCCTTCTGGGGTGAACAGTACTATGGAAGTATAAGCCAAACAAACCTTTTCTTTCTCAACTTGCTTTTGAGTCATGGTGTTTCATCGAAGCAACAGAAACCCTAAGACAGTGTGAAATTGCTCTTCTGAGAACTAATGAGCCTTTGTGTGTGCAGATAGAAGGGTTACTGCTGTGGACACATGGGTGCATGCTGGATGTCAGACATTGCATAAACTACATTCTTCAGCTGGTCTGAAGTTATTCCCCTCTGTGCTCTGATTTTCTTGGCATCTTTTGTGAGATTTGAGGATTATTGTCAGTCACTGTTGACTTCCCTGAATTGACTATAGATTCACTAAGAGACATGAGGACACTGGCGTAGTGTGAAATCTAAATAGGTATTTTAATAATAAAAAGCCGGGAGCCAGATATTGGGTTAAATGCTGAAAGATCAGAGAGACAAAGGAATAAGCCACTACCACATTTTACCTCTAGGAGTCCTCAACCTGAAAAGGCCTCCAGCCAAAAGCCTTAGTTCCTGTCTCCTCATGCCTTATATACCTTTCTCTGCCCATCCATATCACTTCCTTCTTAGTGCTGGGATTAAAGGTATGTGACTCCCAAGTATTGGGATTAAAGTTGTGTGCCACCACTGCCTGGCTCTGTTCCTCTCCTAGGCTGAGTCAATCTCATGTAGTCCCGGGTGGCTTTGAATTCACAGAGATCCAGATGGATCTCTGCCTCCTGAGTGCTAGGATTATAGGCATGTGCCACCACTGCCTGGTCTCTATGTTTAATCTAGTGACTTGTTCTGTTCTCTAATCTTCAGGCAAGTTTTATTAGGGTACACAATATATCACCACACCCTAGGGTGGCATGATGAGCTTCATAATCTCTGAGGTGATGAAAGTTAACCCAAAAGGGGCCATAGACTAAACACAACTAAAAGCTATTTTGCAGAAGAAAATCAGAGAAAATTTCCCTTATATTGATGCATGAAAATATTCCTTAAAGAGAACACAAAAGGTAGAGGCCAGTAAAGAAAAAAGAAGGGAAACTGAATTTTAAAAACATTTTTACATTTATTTTAGAAAAAGAAAATAGTCCAATGATACTCCAACCGAAAACCAGGATGCGTTTTTCCAGCCCTCCTCACCTTCCTGTGTTTAAATTCAAGAATGTCTCATGTACTTGATTTTCTCCTTCTGGGTTCCAGAAACAGTCCCTTTCCTCTGCTCCCTAGTCCCATGCACAGTACTGGGTTCATGGCTGGTATAGCTGTGCATGTTGGGAATCTCCTGCACTTATACAGACCGGACAAGTGAACCTTAAATCATCCCACTTTGAATATGTCTAAAAAGATCTTGACGGAGACAGATACACTTCATGGTAACTGGTTGTAATGAAAACCAAAGTTCTCTAGAGGAGTGATTCATTCTAGGATTAAGGAAAGAAATGTATAAGATGAACTTGCAGTACCTTGTAGTATCAGAAATGAAGAAAACATCAAAAATAAAACAGAACACAATAATGGAGTGTGTTCAAGTTATACAGACTTCACTAAAAAGCTCTCTAATGCAACGAATTACAGTATTGCTGAGTTTATAACACAAGATATAAAATAAATATCTATGAGTTGACGCAGAGGAAGGAAGGGGAGGGAAGGGAAGGCCACAGAAGAACTCTAGGGTAGGGGATTGTGGCTTAATGGTAGAATTTTGTCTAGAATGCCCTGGGTTCAAGCTTCTACTGGTAGTGACAGTAAAAAAAGTTACTATTATCTACTTTTAAGATTAAGCACAACCCCAACCCCTACGTACACACTGCAAACTGACCCAGAGTCTAGTACAGAATAGAAGAAGAGAAACACACAGAAACATTGTAGTGGAGAAACCTGAGAGCAAACCCACTTTAAGCCAAATAATCAAGGCTAAAGCATCACAATGTGCCCAGGATATGATGCCAAGCTGGTGACAGTTTTTACTTTTTTCATGTCCAGTTTGAGTCCCAAGAAACACATTAGGAATGCCGCAGCTGAGGTGCACTCTACGAAGTAGAAGGGCAACATAGATCCTGGAGGTCACCAGATACAAGAAAGTACTCAGAGTTGTCTCAACCATGCAGAGGAGACATGGCTACTAAGCACAGTTAAGGACCCTCAAAGACAATGTCAGAGGAAACTTGAACTCCATTTCTTGTCTTCCCAAATACCAGCCTTATTTAGTCAGTAAATTTAAAAAAAAACACCTAAACTTAATCAAATTTAAAGTTCAATAACTTCTGAGTTGGATCTAAATTTAATTTTTAAAGTTTAAATTACGATTATTATTAGTCATCAATTTATAAGGAAGCATACTGTAATGGAGTAAGAAGGCTGAGGGTTCAAGTCCAAGACCCCCCCACCCCCATAAACACAAGGTGGCTTTGATGAAGCTTCTACAACACCAGGACTTATTAAAGTGCAAACTGATGCCCTCTGTATGGCATTTTCATGACCATGTCTGATGTAATTTTTTTTCTTAAAGAATTTTTCCAAAAGTAATACATTCTCAGATAGCACACATGAAGACCTGGGCTTTAAGTGACAGAATCCCCAGTTCAGGTCACAGAAGGACACCTGTATCTGTTCATCCAAGAAAGGAAGCATGGATTACTGCTTACCGATGGCTGTCGCTCTTTAGAGATGAGGAAGCTGGTCTCTCTGGTGTCCGGGCTCTGTCAATAGCAAAAAGTGGATGAGGGAGAGGGAGATACAGAGCTGTTAAGGATAGCCCAAGTAAAAAAAACATAGCATTTAATTTCCCAAAGCAAGAACAGCAAGGTTCTCTCTGTAGAAATACTGCACCATGAAATATGAACTCTATTTCCCCATCTGAAAAGGTATAAGAAGTTGCAAATATATGTACATGCATGCATGTGTGTGTGTATGTATCTGTACATGTGTCTGTGTATGGTTGGAAAGAAAAAAGAAGATGAGAAGAACAGAGAAAGGAAAAGGGATATTGTAGAGGACGCTCTACTAAGTCATGAGACAACCTGCAACAAGTGAAAAGCTTAAAAACTTGTACATCACAGTAAAATAACCAGGAGCTCTAGTAGGTTTAGGATTCTGAGCAGGACCAACAGGGAATACACATCACTGACTAGATGTTTTATGCTTCTTGGCTTTGGCTTGAAATTATTAAAAAGTTGTAGCTTTGAAGATGACACATCATTCATTAAAAAAAGTACACAATTCAAGAAAATCCCTGTGTACGTATGATACACACAAGCCACTTGCAACTAAAACATTTCTGCTTTCTTGCACATGGGTTTTCAATCCACTTGTTATTCAGTGGTCCACACACCACAGAACTGGCTCCTGAGGTCTCTCTCACCTGCCCACTTTCTGAATTTCCAGGACTGGGATCAGGAGCAGCCCCAGCTAACAGAAGTAACCTGAAGTCCATATCCACACTGGGTACTCAGTTATCTCCTTTTGGGAGCATCATATCTAGCATCTCACTATGACTGGTTGGTTCTGGGCAAATTGGTTTTGAAAAAACAGTTAGTATGGATTAAGGATACCTCAGGAGCTTTTGGGAATACGCTCCTGTGCTGTAGAGCTTACACAGTGAAATTGCCAGGAAGCAACAACACTCTCTCTGCCTTCTTAGCAATGATGAAGACAGTGATAAGCACAGGTAAATTCAAACTACTTCAGCTTACCTAAGTTACACTTGTGAATTCTACTTGTTCATCAAACTATAACAAAATATCAAATAAAATTAACCCATCAGAAAGTCCTGAAATGGTAGCCTCTACAAACAAATGATGAAGAGACAGATGTGTTGCTAGAGTTTTCCTGCCTGGCCCACAGTCAGAACAAATCTCTCTCACCTGCCAGTCCCACAGCCGCTCAGACCCGACCAAGTAAACACAGGGACTTATATTGCTTACAAACTGTATGGCCGTGGCAGGCTTCTTGCTAACTGTTCTTACAGCTTAAATTAATCCATTTCCATTAATCTATACCTTGCCACATGGCTCGTGGCTTACCGGCATCTTCACATGCTCTTTCTCATCATGGCAGCTGGCAGTGTCTCTCTCACCCAGCTTCCTGTTCTCTCAATTCTCCTCTCTGTTAGTCCCGCCTATACTTCCTGCCTGGCCACTGACCAATCAGTGATTTATTCATTGACCAATCAGCAATACATTTGACATACAGACCATCCCACAGCACAGATGTCTCAAAGGTTAAGAATGATTGTTGCTCTTCTGGAGGACCTGAGCTTGGTTCCTAGCACCACCTGGAACTCCTGCACCTTCTTCTGATCTCCATGGGTGCCCGAACACATGTGTGCGCCACACACACATATGCATTTTAATAGAAACAAAAGGAATCTTTTAAAAACCATAAAAATTATGTAAGAAATAAGTGGTACATTTCTACCATGAAGACAATAAAGGAACTCAGATTGTTTTTACTCTATCCCTTAGCCTTGCAATCCCACATCTGCATTCTCTGATCATACCGAAAGAACAGTTGTTTTACATATGAAATGGCTGAAGAAACCCACACAGTAATGTCCTCACAGGTACTTGGCAGGGAACTTGACTCTCTCTAGCCTTAGGGAAAAGATAAACTTGTTCTGATTTGGCCCCCAAAACTACAATTATGTCTTCAGCTTGAAACATAAACTGATATAGTTTTCTTCTTTTTAAAAACTCTTGTCTAAGTATTTCATTGTCTCCCTTGACCTAGACCTGTTATGCATAAGAAGAATCCTTCCTATGGTCAAGCCTATGGTTCCCTCAACAGTGGCAAGCCTTTTACATGTGCCTCCTTCCCAGTCCCCAGCCACTAACCAATTAAGTGGTACAAAGTGGAACAACAGTGATAAGTGGATGGATGTCACAAACTTCTACAAGTAACAAAATGTGATCTTATTCATTCAGAGGACTTACAAATCATCACATTACTCCATCATGTGTATTTGAGGTGCGCAGCATGCTCACTTTTCCTCTCTCCAAGTGACTACACCCATCTGGGACTTGCAGATACAGAGACCAACTGTATCTGATTTTATTGTTTTAGTTTAAAGTAGGTTCCTAACTCTTGAGTCACTTGAACCAGACATAGCCCTTGATAACAATATATTCCATACTAACAAGCGTGGTGTAAACAGATATCACACACACCAGCATTACACTTCCCCACGGTGTTAGGCTGAAAGTCATCATCTTGCAGTTCAAACCCCAGCACATCTGAACTTACTGTACAGGAAACCTCAATATCAATTCAAACTTATGACTGCTTTCCAATACTACACTAGCTTGCTCCTGTTCACTTTAAAACTCAGTTTTTAAAGGAATTTTCAAACTTGTGAGACTCTTAAATCAAGCAACTGGCTGACAGCCAAACTATTCAGAAAGGGTAGGTTTTCTTGAGTGAGAATACCAATCTAATGTTAAATTTAAATAGTAAATGAGGCATGGGATCTGTCTCACACTAAAAGATGAGCAAGTGAGAGAAGAGAGACCACAGTGCATTACAGGAGTGGATAAGTAGGGTCTGAGGCAGCTACATAGCTGAGGTGCTAACCTTGACTTCATCTTTGTATTTTACATATAGTGAGCTAATACACAGACATTGGACTTACCTCAGGACTTTGGAAAGCATACTCTTTTTCTTTGGATCTTAAGCCTAGAGGAAATAAAAAAAAGAAAGATCCGTTATGCTGACTACTATGGTGATATTTTATTTGTGCTGAAATGTGATTTTATTTGTATGTTAATAAATAAAGTTGCCTGGGGATCAGAGCTAAAAGCAAGCCATTTAGCAGAAGTCTGATGGTGGTGGCACATGTCCTTAATGTGATCACATGGCAGGCAGAGTCTCTGTGTAGTCAAGGACACAGCCAAGCGTGGTGACATGAACCTTTAATCTCAGTATGAACCATAGAGACCTGGAGGTCTGTATAGACAGGCAGTAATGAGGAGATCATGTGTTTGGGTTTAGAGCCAATGAGCAGGTAGAACAGAAAGGCAATAAAAAGACAGGTCACACAGAAGAAGGTGTCTCTCTCAGGGGAAGGATGGCAGTGACTGGTAAACTAGAGGTAGTCTTGGGCTTCGCTGGTGCTCTGATCTCTTAGGCTTTAACTCTGTATTTGGCTCTGTGTTTCTTATTTACTAAGACCATTTAGAATTTTGTCTGCAGACTACTCTTGTTCAAAAGTCTTCATAAGGAAGAAATAGGAATTCAATAAACCAAACAAAATTCAAAGAAAAATAACTGAAATAACGTAAGATATTCTGGGAGCTAAAATGTTCAAATCAGCCTCCAAAGGATGTCTCTTTCTAAAAACTCATTATTATCATAAAGACACAATCTCATTCACCAGGAAACAAATGCAACTCTGAACAACACACTCATCAACCAGAGCCCAAGCCTTGGGAAAGCCCATCCAGTGGGAATCACAGAACCTACCTATTTGCTCTCTCTTTCTGTGAGAGATAATATTTTTTACTGTTATTTTCTGGATTTATCAGAGTTATGTAACATTTTAAGTAGACAAAATTACTCTCTAAGCACCCAGATATCTTCACAGTGGTCAAATATTAAGTCATTTGGACACACATTCTCAGCAAGTTCCTGACACTACAGATTGACACATGCAGATTTGATTCTTAATATCTGAGGGCTACAATTTGGGAATACACTGAAACATATCTCACAAGTCAATAACTTCCTACACAACAATATATTTTTGGAGAAATATCTCAATAGAAGTCATATAAAATGTTACCACTTACAGACCATCTCCAACAAATAAAACTCCAGGAAGAGTGAGCATAAATTCTGAAAATGTAGAAAATATAAAACTACCAGTTATGTGGGGTCTTCACAATCTAGGAAACAATACAGCCCAGAAAAATCTCTCAGTTGACAGTGATGTAGGAAGCTCAATACCTCTTCACAAGTTGTGCAAGACAATGGTGTTCATAAAGACTCACAGAAGGCTGGGCACAACAGCATTAATCATTGTGAGGGAAAGAGACAGACCATATTCACATAACTTTATTACAGTATGTGGTGACAGTCATTTCTTTGTTGTTAGTTATAGTTGGTCATCTCATGTTGACTAATTTAGAAATTAAACTTAAGCATAGTCATGATATAGAAAGATAACAGGGTTTCCTGTTAGCTACATTTTCAGGCTCCCACTTGGTCCTCAAACTGTGTTCCTTACAAATAAAGGGTGGGTACCGTACACAGGGACATAATGCATCATGGCAAACAGACACAGCATCCAGAGCTTCCTTTGCAAGAGTATGGCATGAACACAAAGCTTTCAGCTGACACATCAGTGGCGCAATGCCATCTTCATCCCATAAGGTGTGTGAGCATTCAATGAACTGATGTGTACACTTGGTGTGTAGGAGATCCTTGTTGATGTTGTTGCTATTTCTGGGATATTTGATATTCCTAAATCATTTTCCAAAGTTATATAAATTAATTAGTTGGGTTACGTCTCAGAATGAAGCTCTGATAATTATTTGTATATTCATGTCTTGTGTTACAGGAGGTGCTCTTAAGATGTTGACACTTATAAGCACAACATGCACATTAATCAACAATGATTGCATTTTCTGAGTGTGAACTTTTTCATGCAAGAGAGGAGAACAGAAATAACAAGTCCTCTGAAAGGTGTATCACATACAAAACCACATGGCAAGGGCTTTCCCAGTGAATACTGCCTCAATATGTAGCTCAAGATTCAACAGTGCCCCAAACAGTTCTCGTTTGATTTGGGAATGAAGACTGCTGATTTTTACATGCCTTTGTGCTATGGTTTGGATATGGTCTGAGTGTGTCTTCCAGAGTTTCACATGCCGGAAGTCTGGCTCCTAGTGTGACAGTGCTGAGAGGGGAAGGGGAGAGTCTAGATACACATAATTGGAACACTGCAGGCATCACATTGGGAAGAAGTTACTTTAATTCTAGGGGATCCTCAGCCATCCTGAGGAGAGCAAACTGTCAGAGAAAGAGCACGACTTGCCCTGATTCCTTCTGGCATTGTGTCTGACCATAAAGTGTTCTCTTGCATTTGCTCCTGCAGTGGTATCTATCAGTCATCATCACACGTGGCTGAGCCAGAAGGCCCTCAACCTACACATATGTCAATTCTTCAGCTCTAAACCCATGAGCTGAATATTACTCTGCTCCTCACATACTATCGCTATCAGACATTCCATTAAAGCAACAAAAATTAATTAACAAGCCTTATGACAAAGAGGCGAGGCAAGGCTCTCAGGGATATACATTTGTCTCTCAAGTTATGATAGCAGGAGACACCAATTCAGGGAGGTTTATTTTCTTGAAGACAAAAATTGTCACAATTACACCAAAGAACAGTGCAATACACAAATAGGGTCCTGTCACAGAGTCATCAAAAAGCACATCCTTAAATGAGGTGCACAGAGCATTTTATGGCTCCGTTTTTTATGACGAGAAAGATGAAAACTCTAAATAGGAAACCCTCCTTTACCTGCTGCTCCCTTTGTTCTGTTAACACACAATTAGGCAGAAAAAACTCTTTCAAACTCTCATCTGAACTTGACACGATGGATTTGAAGATGCTGACAAAGGATGCTGTGAGTCTCCCGATCTCCCGAGCCCTGCTTGTGCTCCCCTCACACTTTGCCCTTTCATCTCACACTTTCCTTCTCCAGAGTAAACTGCCTCTGCTGGCTCTGCCCAGCTGATACTTCACATTGTGGTGGTTCAGACATTCTCCTCTCTAGCCTTGCCCCAAACCACTTCATGAGTACTTTTCTGTGTGTGGAATCTTCTGAGGAGCAATATTGAGGAGGATAGATGTTTTCCCCTAATATATTACACACACATACATATGAACACACAAACAAACACAGAGATTGTTAGCTATCTCACACACAGATGTTCACATCTCAGACACATTTATACACCAAACAACAGGCCTGGGGCTGGAATGAAGGCTCAGAGGTCCAGAGTACACAGTGCTCTTCCAGAGGATCAAGGTTCTGTTCCCAGCACCCATATCAGGCAGCTCATAAATGCCTGTTATTCCAGCTCCAAGGAACCCAAGGCTATCTTCTGGCATCTAACAGGCACCCATCCACATGGCAGACACACAGACATACAATTAAAGATAAGCAACATAAGGGGCTGGGAAGAGGGCTCAGCAGTTTAGAGCACATATTGCTCTTGCAGAGGATCAGGTTCCATTCTCAGCACTCACATGGCAGTTCCCAACCATCTGTAACTTCAGTCTCAGGGGATACAATACCCTCTTCTGGTTTCTGACGGCACCATATATGCATGTGCTACACATACATACAGGTAAAACTCTCATTCATACAAAATAAACAAATCTAAAAACCAATCTAAAATAAAAAACAGCAATTTTTTTTTATGTTTAAAAAAAAATCAAGGGGCCTGAGGGTGTCAAACATGTGAGCACTTTGAAAGTCTCCCAGCATGGGAGACTTGCTGTAGGCAAGCAACCAGAGCTGGGAAGGGTGGTACTAACCACTGAGGAGAATCATCATTTACACACTAAAAGGGAAAGCCAGCACAGACTGAGTGACACGTTTCCACGGAAAGCACCTTACTAAGAACATGCTCTCTTGCAAAACCAAAGCCCCAAATAGCTCCTGCATTTGCCAAGAGATCATCTCACATTACATGCTTACCAGCAGCACAAAATAAAACACAGTCATGTAGCACCATAAACAGTGTTACGGTCATTATCAGACCACAGATGGGTTAGTGTTCCCAAGTTTGTACTGTTCCTGGTGTGCAAGAGGAAGTTCTACCACTCAGGCTTTTGAAGTCACCTAACAGCAGATTTCTTAAGTGTATTCCTATTGAGAACAACTAACAACTGCATGGGAACTTAAATAATCTCGTAACGGGCAGGTGGTTTATCAGAGACACTGTTTAATATAGCTATAATAATATGACATTACATTCAGCTTTTAACTTCCAACAAGAAACTTTTAATCTCCTTTTTCCAGTGCCAGCTTGTCCATAGCAGTCACAGAAGCATAAACAACAGTGTGGTAGTTTGAATAAGAATGGCCCCTGTAGGCTCATATACTTGAATTCAGTCTGTGTGGACCTGTTTGGGGGAGATTAAGAGGTGTGCCTTCTTGAAGGAAGTATGTCATTGGAGGTGAACTCGGAGGTTTCAGAAGATCACACTACTTCCATTTCATTTAGTCTCTCTCTCTCTCTCTCTCTCTCTCTCTCTCTCTCTCTCTCTCTCTCTCCCTCTGCATTATGCCTGTGGATCAGGATGTAAGGTCTCAGCTCCTGCTCCAATGTCATGTTTGCTGGCATGTTCTGTGCCATGATGGTTATGGACTCTAACCCTCTGGAACTCTAAGCCCCATAAATGTTTTCCTTTACAAATTGTCTTGGTTATGGCAATAGGAAAGCGACTATGACAAATGGGCAGCCAGACCAACACCCCAAAGCATGGGGCATTCTGATTTCATACCCAGAAAAACAAAAGTTGTGCAAGGATCCCTGCTGCTGAGTCCCGATCTCTTGACTCTCATGCTGCCAGGTCCAGAGATATGGACAGGATGCAGACACCAGACTTTCGACCAATATAATTTTCTCCCACCTCCATTCAAATCAGAGGGGTAGCTGTGATTACCTGTACTATAGTGGCATTTGCCATGAAAAGAGACGAGCTTCATGAACATTCTGAAATTTCCTTTTTTTCTTTTTCTTTTTTGTTTTTTTTTTTTGAGACAGGGTTTCTCTGTGTCCCTTTGGAGCCTTTTCTGGAACTCACTCTGTAGCCCAGGCTGGCTTTGAACTCACTGAGATCCTCCTGCCTCTGCCTCCTGAGTGCTGGGATTAAAGGCATGTGCCACCACTGCCCGGCTACTACATTCTGAAATTTCTAAGGGAGACAGAAGCTACATATGTCCTTATGCCAAAGGGTTGCTAACCCCACAGCTTGTAGTAAGTAGCCTCACTTTGAGACTAAATCACATTGAGCTGCAAATACCTGAAAGACTGAAATAGTTCATCTCCATGTGGCTGCAATGAAATATTTTTTATTTATTACCCAGAAATTATCACATCATATATACTTTTTGTTTCATATTTTTCCTTCAAAGGACAAACAGAAGCCACTGGTGGGATTGAAAACTATGTAGACACTTAGTGGCCATGTCTTAAAATAGTCAGTGCAGAGTGACTACATATTCCATAGACCTCCTGTGATAGATGCAAGAAAAACAAAACACGCCAATGTTTAAACAATAACTGACAAATGCGTGTTCATTGCTGTATTATTCACTGTAGCATAAAGAGGGAAATTAGCTTTATGTCCAGGATTTGACAAATGAATGGGTGTGGCGTTCCTCCACAAGGGAATACCACTTGTCAAATGAAAGGAATGGTACACTATGTGACTGAACTTCAAAAATGTATCATGAGCACAGACTTCATGATTCCACTTACTTGAAATACCTGAGCTAAGGAAACCTACGGTGACAAGAGGTGCACTGCCTGCTGGGGTTGGGGAACGGTCACATAGAGGGGGTCAGCTGAAATGATGAAGATGATGTCCCATGACTCTGTGGCAATGGTCACAAAACTCTATCAATACACAGAAACCATCAACTGTATACTTAAATGGGAAGATTTGTGGGATGTAGATTATGTCTCAAAAAAGCCATTTTTTAAAAGGGAAGAGAGAAGTTCAGTGTGATGGTGACCCAAGCCTTGAATCCCAGCACTTGGGAGGCAGAGGCAGGCAGATATCTCTATGTTTGAGGCCAGCCTGGTCTATACCGTGACCAGTTTCAGAACAAAAAATAAAAGGTGTGGGGTAGAAGAGACAATAACAATATTTCTTGGTCCCTTTAAGACCTAATAGTAAGACTATACTTGTATCTTCTAATTTTTCTTTTTAATGGATCTCTAATGTCAGCACTCAGTCTGAGACAGGATCTCTGCCAGGAGTCTGGCTGAGCCACGGAATGAGAGATCTTACCCTTCCCTCTTCTAACACCCAAACACCTTTTATATCTAAATAACGGGGGGAAAAAAAGAGAACAAACAAACAAAAACCAGAATTACTAAGAGAATTGAGGCTTGGTGATTCCAGCAGGAAAACTGTATGTTTAGGAAAAATGTGTTAACTAAACTACAAACCGACAGACAGTGCAAACCCCAGTAGAAACTGACTAGTGTTCTCAAGAGAAGTAAGACTTCAGTTAAAGCCCTCTCTCTCTCTCTCTCTTTCTCTCTCTCTCTCTCTCTCTCTCTCTCTCTCTCTCTCTCACACACACACACACACACACACACACACACACACACACACACACACACACACACACACACACACTATAGAGTTCTCAAAAGCTGTTAGAACTTAAGAAAGCTGTTAGACCTTAAGGTCTGTCCTTCCCATAATCACCATCTCAAAACATGTCTGAAGGTCCACAAAGAGCTGACAGGAAGATCTCAGGACCAGATCCTTACAGGAGGTCGCCATCTGTGCGCTCTCCTTGGAAAACCCACCTTTCCAGAGTGGGATCCCCTGGCCAGGGCACCACACCACGCTAATCACTCGGGGTCAGTGGGGTTCAAGACAGGTGCCCGGATATCCTAGGGAGTCACAGGTTGCAGGTACCGGGCGCTCAGGTGCATTGGGGACATCGCGGGGGCGCAGAATGTCACCCACCGCCTGGCAGGCACGGCGCAGCACGGGGCTCCACATGCTGCTGCGAACCTCCCCGGGACAGAGACCCACAGCTGCCAACGTCCCCCAGAAACCACTCGCGGAGAAGTTTCACGCGCCTGTTCAGCGCCGGCCTGCGGTCCTACCTTCCTTCTCCACCATCTCCAGCAGGTCCGGGTCGCCCATCTTCGCCAGCTCGTTGAAGGCACTGATGTGTGAGAGGCAGGGGGAGGCAGACCGCTGCGACAGGCGGCGAGAAGTCTTGGGGTGGAGGCTGAAGCGGATGGTAGGCCGCCGGTATCCCAGCCCTGGCGGCAGTATCCCGCCGGAGCTCTTCCTCCCCGCGGTGCTATAAAGTTGTGAGTCCAGACCCAGGGGCATCTGGGGCGTCATGGACGACGGAGACACTTGGGACACCTGGGAAGCTCCAGTGCCCCGGGGAGCCAGGGACGAGCGAGGAGTCAGGGAACAGCGGCACCTAGCCAAAGACTCCTGGCGGTATCTCAGGCTGGGCTTCCTCTCCAGGCTGTACTTGCCCAGTCTCCTGTGGCGACTGGAAGCTACATCCCTATGTTTTACTATCCGTAAGCGATAGCGCTGCTCTGTCCCCTCCATGTAGGGCTCTAAGTACTGCTCCTGGTCCTTGCTAGGCTGTTCTGAATAGCTTTCTTGATCTTGCTGCCTGGCCTCTTGCTCCTCCAATTCACTCAGGCGATTCCTCCACTTCCCTCTAGGCCTTGCTAGCAACTTGTGCCTAGGGACCACCGATTCGCTGATCTCTCCGGACAGCCCGGATTCCGCCCCACTTTCTGCCTCCTGGACTCTCAGCATCTCCATCCTTCTTCTTCCTCCCTCCTGGATTTCCAACTGGTCCTCCTCGGAGACCCTCACCATGTTCAGATCCCTGGAGACTCCAGGCCTTTCCACCCGACTTGCCCCCTCGGGGACCCTCGATATGTCTACATACGGGGCGACTTCAGGTTCCTCCACCTGTCTCGCCTCCTCAGGGGCCCTCACCACATCTACATCTTCTGGGACTCCTGGCCCCTCCACCCTACCAGCTTCCCTGGGAACTCCAGCCCTGGTGGACTCCTGGGAATCTCCTGGCTCCCTTCCTTCTTGACCCTCCAGCTCCATACTCAACAGGCTTAGAGCTTCCTGTTTCAACCGGTCCACCCACTCAGGGCAGGTACCCACACTTCACTGTCCCCAACCTTCCTCACATCCCCTCTGGTGAGCAGCCTCAGCCTACTAGTAGGCCTGGTTCCCCTGGATTGCTTGGCCCTCCATTCAATGTGAGGCCGGCTTGGGCAAAAGCTTCTTCCCAGTTGGGAGTTATTTTCTGTCGGGTGAGAAAAAGACTCACTTCCCTTAAAGCACCTCTCCCTTTAAGGCATGTGCATGACGTGGGTCTTCTCCAAGGTTCCAGAAGACTCTTGGCTAGGTATCTGCGGCAACTTGGCCATTAGTTCTTTAAAGGACGCTTCCTGGATGCTGAACCAGGGGTATTTCCACAGTGGGGAGAAGGTCAGACACTGGCTAGAAAGTCTGTGTTCTTTCAAAGTTGAGTGGGTATGAGCTAGTTACATGTACACTCACAATGCATGTGATGGGGGAAACGGAAATATGCGAACATCTTTTACAGTCTAGATGAGACGAGTACCTTCTAGGGTATGCGGGGAGCACTCCATCGAGCATGCTGGGATGAATGTTAACTTCACTCTGCCTCTTACCTTGAAAATGAAGCAGAGAAATCCCCAGGGAACAAATTGCTCTGAATTGGACCTGGCAGCCCCAGGAATTAGGAGATAAGAATTACTGACAGGGTAATCGATGAGTGATGGGCTGAGGGTGAGGTGGTCAGGCACCTGAGCAGAGCACCTTGGCAATGTAGAGGGCTAGATTGGGGTGATTTGAGAATTAAGAAACAATCGACCAAAGAAAATTTGGCGTGACTTGGGTGCGTGGCTTCTGTGTGTTTCTCTGTTCTAGGATGTTCCGTAATGGAGGAATCACCTTTTAGAGATTCTGGGATGGCTACGATTTTGCTCCAGGGTTGTGGCCTCTGCTTCTGTACAGTCCAGATTTTCTCCCGCTGAGCATTTAGGGACACGCCTGGCATGGCAGGAAGAGAAGAAAAAGGGAAGAAAGGGGAATCGGGTACAGCAGCCAGGAGGTCAAAAGTACAATAGGGTGGGTAGCCAAAATTCTGGATTATATAGGGAAGAGCCTCTTGGGGAAGGGAAGTCCAGTCCCTGGGCTGGAGAGTTCAGGGTAGAGGGTGGGGTATGAGAGCCACATCCTGTAACAGGTAGAGACTGAGGGATACTGGGAGAACCTGGAGGCCAGGTCAGCTTTGATATGTTAAATAGGCACCTGGGCCATTTGTCCTGGGTTTGAAACTTAACATCCTCTAATCATAATTATGGCAGAACTGTTTGGTTCTTCCTCATTGTCCTTTCCTTACACACTTCAGTTAAATCTTCGTGGCAACATCATCACAGGAGCACACAAAGATGTGTCTCCTAGGTGATTCTAAGACATGTTGTCACTCAAGATTAACCTTTCCACTATGTACCTGCTATTTGCCCTAGTTCATCTCTTTTCCTAAGATAAAATACCCTGACAAAAAGTAACCTAGAGGAAAAAGACTTTCATTGAATCTACAGGCAGGTTTTAGTCCATCATAGCCGAGAAGACATAGCAGGGACTTGAACCAGCTTGTCACATCACAATTGAAACAAAGTAAAGACAGCTTCTAAGAAAGCACCACCAACTTGTCTTGGGCAAGTTGGCTTCAAGGTTACTTGTTGAGTGGGTGCTCTGGAGACCCTAAGGGCCTGCCTGGTGCCATTGCAGCATGCTCCATGGCTTCTGGAGGTGATGTTCCTACTGATGAGGAACAGGCTGCAGGGCCTGGAAAGGAAAATAAGGATAGCAACAGAGAAGAGACTGGATCCATACAATATGCTATCTCCAAGGGCAGCTTCAGGCACCAAGAAAGAGTCTACTTTAGTCCCATCCATCACCAACAAGTGACGTGTCTGTGAAGAGGACAACTGCACTGTCATCTGGTTTAGGCTGCACAAAGGCCGGACTCAGCGATGCCCAAACTGTGGAACTCATTATAAGCTGGTGTCCTACCAACTGGCCCACTGAGCCCCTGCATTAACTTTTCAGAATGTGATAGAAAATTTCTCTCTAATAAAGACTAGCCACTGCATTGGCTCCAACCTCCATGCCTACCCTCCCCCCCCCCCGAAAAAGAAAGCTCTACCTATTTTAGGAAAGAGATCCCGACCATCTCATAGACAAGGAACTAAATGTGCGGTAACCAAGAACAACCTCTGCCACACCTTGGTAGCTGGGATAGGAGTTACCAGCTGACCCTGGGAACAAAGGGAGTTTGGTACAATCAACAGCACTCGAGAGACCTGTGAGGCCAGAACAGCCACTGACTGCCCCCAGCCGACAGCATGCTCTTCCTAGCTCCCATTTCCCTGAGGAGTCTTCTTGTAGTGTGTCTCATTCCAGGCTCCGTGACCGGAGAAATCCAGGCTAACGTAGCCAGTGAATCCTTTCAAAAGCATTTAGAAATCTGAGCCCGAGAAGAGGATAAAGAACTATGCAGATTACAACACTATTACAAAGAAAAAGAAAAAGGATCCAGGAGAGCCCGACAGCACAGACCGTCATCTTCACATCACTACTTAAAATGGAAACAAGCCAGTTCTAATTTTGTTGAATATTTTAAAATTGTGTCTAGAGCATTTTTTGTCATGTCTCTTAAAATGCCTTACTCATTGTTTGTTGGAAATGACTTAATCCAGTTTGAAGCCACAATGGGCAATCCGGGAAACCACCCCAGATTCGTCCTTGCTTCCACATTCCCGCTGCTGGCCCGTCCCTGCCAGCTGATCTTCTTTCTCCCAAGCAGTGCTTTCTAATGGGGGGGTTAATCGCTTGATGGCTCAGCGGAGCCTATTACAAACACTGCCCCATTCACATTTTAGCGGTATGCCTTCGTGTCTCTTAACCTTTCCGAGTGGCAGCTCTATTATCCACAAAATGAAGAAAACAGTTCATCCTGCACAAGGTTGTTCACTGTTCTTTACTTATCTGAGCCAGGTAGATAGTCTGGTGCTTAAGAGCTCTTGTCGCTCATGAGGAGGATCTGAGTTCAGGTCCCAACATTCATGTCAGGTGGCTCACAACCATCTGTAACTCCAGTTCCATGAGGTCTAAAGGCCTATCCTGGTCTTTTGAGGCACCTGCACACATGTGTACATACACATACATGTATACATATAAAATTTTGAAAAACCTTAAAAAAATAAATAAAACCTAGAGTGTCTTCACTTTGTTGTATTTGTTATTATTGAGGAGATGCTGTAACTTTTTACTACTAATATCCTTAATTTTTTCAAGGAGATTGATTTGATCAATATGTCATACTTCTGCAATCCATGGTGCAAACGTGAAAGTTTGCAAACTTAAAAAAACTAAGTACATGACACATAAAAGTGTCAATACAAACATTGTTTAGAATATTGGAACCAATTCTTAATATCCAGTGGAGTCTATGTTGATTAGAGTGGATGTTAGTGCTGTGGCAATATAGTTAAAGCCTCCGAGAAATAGTAGATACCCATCAAAGATGACCTCAAGCTTGGATTTAAATAAGCTGTCATCCAATTCAGGCTCCCCAAAATATACTTACTATTAAAATCCCAAAAGTGTCTTTGAAGATTAAGTTTCAAATAAAGAAAAAAAACCCAAATTTGAATAAAATATAAGAGCTTCAAGTTAGTGAGAACATGTATTTTATGTATAAGGAAATTGATCAGAATACTTATAAAGTATGTTTAAATAAAGACAGTCCATTTTCAAGGTTTATAATTTATATGCAATTTCAGTAAGTGATACCCAATGAGTGAAATTAAAGAGTTTCAATGACCCAGTGGTTAAGTCTGGGGTTTATCTACCCTAAATAAATCTTCATGTGTGTGCTCCACCCAGCGATAGCACCGTGTTTACCA